GTATGCTTCTTGATGATTGATCAGTATGGTGGTGACCATGGTAAAGAATCAGAGTTTCTTCTACTTTTTGACAACTATCATTTAGTAACTTCGATATTTGCTGACAAACTATTTTGAAAGAAAGAGGATGCCTACTCTCAGGGACATATCTCAACACATCAACTTGAATAGCTTCATTAATATCAGTGAGAACAAAATCATCAGAAGGATGACCATAAGAGAAGCAAACACGATTACGATAGATACGTTTTATTCCAACCTTAGAGCGTAACTTCATGGTGATAGCTAATCGACCAAAGAAGCCAGCAGTGGCAGGTGCTTCATAAATATTATCAAAATTGAGCTTAACATTGGCATCAGTAGCAACAGTGGTTGCTAAACGAGTGAAGAAGCCAGGAGGTACATACCCAGTAGAGAATGTAATGTGTACAGGTGAGGCTCTTAGCTTATAACCAGGTCGTACTTCATTAGGGTCACCTGTGTATCCTGGTAGCACTGCTGGAAGAAAATATTGCTTGGATGTGCTATCACAAACCTCAGTTTGAACTGGAGCTGCAAGACGAAAATGAACTAAAAGTTCAATTATTTCTTCTGGATCAATGCCACTTGACTGCCATACTTCTTGATAGAGTGGTTGAACAAGAATACCTTTATTTCGTAACAAAGACAATCTATATGTTCCACTCCATCCTTTCTCTAGTGGGAACACCTTCCCAATGGTATCAACAAACCATTTGGGACTGAGAATGACTTTATCCTTCAGACCTTCTATTTGAGGATAGTAAAGCACAGCTCCCAGCTCGTGGTAGAATTTCAATACTTCAGGAACATCAGCTACTGGTATATGACATGCCACTCCAATGGCAATAGCATCAGATAAACTGATGACATTATGCTCTAGCTCTTGAAGTATTCTGCGAAAAAGGACCCAATTGACAGGTGTTGGAAAGACTAACTTATTAATAAAACCATCAATAGCTTGGCGTAATTCTGTAATGCTGGGATCTTCTTTGTCTCCTTTGCCTGAGGTGGTATTATCAATGATTAGCACATCTTCAATAAGATTTGAGAACTCTTTCTCCTCATACAGGGACTGGATTTGCTTCTTTACTTGTTCTTTCTTCCATTGTGCCTTTAGCTTGTCACCACGAGTGCCAATACAATAGAGACTAGGAGAAGAAGTATCATCTTTGTTGTGCTTCATGAGGTGACTGTGTATTGTAGACATCCATTTGGCCATTAGATCACTCGTGCTTTCATTCACTACTTCACCAAACAGCACTTTACCATCAGGAGTATTCTGACGTGACTGCCACCTTTTCCTGAAATCCTTTGAAGCATCAAACAGGAGGAGAAACATTGTACGAGGAGTGAGGAAGGCTGGGAGAATCTCAAGGAACACTGGCTGACCACCACAATCCCATATATGAAGAAATGGCTACAGATTGGTATATTATATCATAATGCTAAAAGTAAGTAAACATATGACTCACTTGAACAAGTAATTCTTTTTTCTGATCAGTGGAACTAGCTCTTTCAAATATTGATTTGATACGAATCTCTACATTAAAATCAGAAGCTATTGAACCAGTAGAAACTAATGCATCTGATTTATTATGAGAATATTTTGCACTCTGTACAGAAGTATATGATCTAAACTTAATGAATTTAAGCAAAGAAACAATTTCTTTAATTTCATCTTCTTCTGTGGCTCCTCTCCATTTGTTTTCTCTCTTTGTTTGCCACTCGTGTCCAAATGGTCGTACGGAGGAAACATCAGATACAATGGTGCTTGTAGTACGACGTTTGAAAGGTTCTTCCATTAATGAACGCTTGAGAGACGTCTTGCCAGTACCAGCTGATCCCAGTAACATAAGACGAGCATATGCTACATCAGCACTTCTTTGCTCCTTGAGAGCTCTCTTATAGGCATCTATAGGTACATGTACATGTAAAAGTATCAATAAATATACAATGTATAAAAGTATCTTAGTAGGAATGTTGTCTGCAGTCAGCATACATACTTGTATTCTACAAAATAATGACAATGTCAGGATTTTTTGGACAAAAAATAACTTACAATCTAAAAACACATCAATATGGTATCATACATAAAAAAGAGTAAATTACAAATTCACATGTGACGTGACTTACTGACTGAAAGATTGTGAATATACAGTTAAGTAAAGTATCACAATGGTATCATGGAAGAAAAGAATAAAATTACACATGTGATGTGACTTACTAGCTAAAAGATCGTGAATAACACAGTTTAGTAAAGTATCACAATGGTATCATAGAAGAAAAGAATAAAACTACACATTCACATGTGATGTGACTTACTGTCTGTAAATAACACAGTTTAGTAAAGTATCACAATGGTATCATAGAAGAAAAGAATAAAATTACACATTCACATGTGATGTTACTTACTGTCTGTAAATAACACAGTTTAGTAAAGTATCACAATGGTATCATAGAAGAAAAGAATAAAATTACACATTCACATGTGATGTTACTTACCACCTAATAGAATGCAAATAACACAGTTTAGTAAAGTATCACAATGGTATCATAGAAGAAAAGAATAAAATTACTCATTCACATGTGATGTGACTTACTTCCTGAAAGATTGTGAATAGCACGGTTTAGTAAAGTATCACAATGGTATCATAGAAGAAAAGAATAAAATTACAAATTCATATGTGACGTAACTTACTGTCTGAAAGATTGTGAATAGCATGGTTTAGTAAAGTATCACAATGGTATCATAGAAGAAAAGAATAAAATTACTCATTCACATGATGTGATGTTACTTACATACTGAAAGATTGTGAATAACACAGTTTAGTAAATTATCACAATGGTATCATGGAAGAAAAAAATAAAATTACACATGTGATGTTACTTACTAGCTAAAAGATTGTGAATAACACAGTTTAGTAAAGTATCACAATGGTATCATGGAAGAAAAGAGTAAAATTACTCATTCACATGTGATGTTGCTTACATACTGAAAGATTGTCAATAACACAGTTTAGTAGAGTATCACAATGGTATCATGGAAGAAAAGAATAAAATTACTCATTCACATGTGATGTGACTTACATCCTTAAAGATTGTGAATAACACAGTTTAGTAAAGTATCACAATGGTATCATAGAAGAAAAGAATAAAATTACAAATTCACAATTTCACATGTGACATGACTTACTGGCTAAAAGATTGTGAATAACACAGTTTAGTAAAGTATCACAATGGTATCATATAAGAAAAGAATAAAATTACTCATTCACATGTGATGTGACTTACATCCTTAAAGATTGTGAATAACACAGTTTAGTGAAGTATCACAATGGTATCATGGAAGAAAAGAATACAATTACTCATTCACATGTGATGTGACTTACATCCTTAA